CTCAGGCAAGGCGCTTCCTCCGCAGCTGCTGTGGCCCTGGCTGGCTGTCGTCAATTACCTGAGGAGACTGCAGTGACCTCACACCCCTCCCCAACACCAGTGTGACTGCACCCAGACTCCCACAACCTCAGATTTGGATTGGGGGTTGGGGGAGATTAGGGTAACAGGGAATAAGACACATGGCCTGTTCTTGAACATAGAATGTGAACTCTGTAACATAGACTGTCTCTCATGAGGCCCTTTCTAGCTCAAATAGCAAGGCTCAGACAGCTTGCTCTTGTGCCTAACAGAGAACCTTCTCTCTAAAGACTGGAGAAAGGGCTCCAGTGAGATTTCCTGTGAGGTACTGGTTCACATAATTGTGAAAGCTGTAAAGTCCCACAGCCTGGCATCTGCAAGGTGAAGATCCAGGAAAGCCCATGGCTTCATTCAAAGGCCTGAGAGCCGGAATGTCAAGGGCAAGAGAAAACTGGTGTTCCAGCCCCATTTTTGGACAGAGAGGGAATTCAATCTTCCTCCACCTTTTGCTCTCTTCTGGCCTGCGGAGGATTGGATGAGGCCAGCCCATGATCTTCACTCAGTCCACTGAGTCAAATGCTCATCTCCTCCAGAAACATCCTCACAGACACACCCAGAAATCATGCTCACTCAGTCCACTGAGTCAAATGCTCATCTCCTCCAGAAACATCCTCACAGACACACCCAGAAATCATGCTCACTCAGTCCACTGAGTCAAATGCTCATCTCCTCCAGAAACATCCTCACAGACACACCCAGAAATCATGCTCACTCAGTCCACTGAGTCAAATGCTCATCTCCTCCAGAAACATCCTCACAGACACACCCAGAAATCATGCTCACTCAGTCCACTGAGTCAAATGCTCATCTCCTCCAGAAACATCCTCACAGACACACACAGAAATCATGCTCACTCAGTCCACTGAGTCAAATGCTCATCTCCTCCAGAAACATCCTCACAGACACACCCAGAAATCATACTATCTCAGTCCACTGAGTCAAATGCTCATCTCCTCCAGAAACATCCTCACAGACACACCCAGAAATCATACTCACTCAGTCCACTGAGTCAAATGCTCATCTCCTCCAGAAACATCCACAGACACACCCAGAAATCATACTCACTCAGTCCACTGAGTCAAATGCTCATCTCCTCCAGAAACATCCTCACAGACACACCCAGAAATCATGCTTTAACAGCCATCTGAGGGTCTCATGGCCCAGTTAAGTTGACACATAAAATTACCACATAAGAACACACCTTCAAGGCCGGGAGCGGTGGCTCATGCCTATAATCCCAGCACTTTGGGAGGCCGAGGCAGGTGGATCACAAGGTCAAGAGATCAAGACCATTCTGGTCAACAAGGTGAAACCCCGTCTCTACTAAAAATACAAAAAATTAGCTGGGCATGGTGGCGCGTGCCTGTAATCCCAGCTACTTGGGAGGCTGAGGCAGGAGAATTGCTTGAACCCAGGAGGTGAAGGTTGTGGTGAGCCAAGATTGCGCCATTGCACTCCAGCCTGGGTAACAAGAGCAAAACTCCATCTCAAAAAAAAAGAACACACCTTCAAATTCAGGTTGTTTTTGAATGCTTAAGTATGATGTTCTAAAAAGCACATACCTATGAGGTATTAGAATGAATACATCCTTGTTTAATTTCCATAATAGAATATGTAAAGTAATATTTTATTTGTCTTAAATATGTCTTTAATATAAATATACCTATTATGTTCCATCATTTCATAGTATTTTGTGGTTTCAATTCAGTCCACCCTAATGTAACTATAAAAAGTATATTGAAAAGTTACGGGAAAGGAAAACTAAGACAGGTGCAGCCTTGACTTGAAAGAGTTTACAAATTAGGAAGAAATACATGTGTACAGAAGACCTTGATATGGACAATGCTTGTCAGAGTATTCTAAGGAAGGTCTTTCCGAAACAGCTCTGATTATGAAAAATGTCCAAGGTCTCCACATTGTCTGCAAGAGAAGACCTAACCCCATAGACTTTCCTACAGAGACATTTGCCATCAGAATTCATTTTCCCTCTTCGTCTTCTGTTTCCTAATAACCTACATTCAGGACCATTTAGCTTTTACTCATACCCACCCACTCATAGATTTCTCAAAAATCATGTTCTCCCATGTGTCCTTGTGTGTTTAGCTTGATTTCTTTACCCTAGAATTCTTGTTTTCTTTTCTACCCTGAGCGTTCATGAAAACTTATTTAAACGTCAACTCCCTGTTCAGCATCCCCCGCTTCTCCAGGCAGTGTTTGTCTTTTCCTCTCTGGCACTTCATGGATACATTGTGTGTACCTATTATAGATTTTCAATACAAAATTACAATGATGCATTTACTCATCTGCTTTGCTTGACTGAGAAATCCTCGGGCCTGGCCTCTCTACTCACCTGAAGTTCCCTGAGGAGCCTGGGTGCACCCTAAAGATGCGAGATGGGAGAGTCGGGTGAGTGCACAGGTGAAGGGGCCTCAGGAGCAAACTTGTTTCTCCCTGTTTGATATTACAAGTAATATATGTCCCTAAGATATTACAAATAATATCACAAAGTGGTCAAACATACTCTACACTGGCCATGACATTAGGAGTAATAGCTCTTTAAAATATACACCCATATCAGCCCGACGGTGATAGTCAGAGTAATATCTCTTTAAAATGTACACCCACATCAACCACCTGCCATAGGCGAGTAATATCACCCGGGCTCCCCCTGAATATTAAGAACCATATCACAGAGGAGTGGCCATACCTGCGACTCATAGTATCTCTCCCTGAGATATTGTGAATAATATCAGACAGTATACACAAATACTTTACACATGCTTTGATATTGCGAGTAATGACATATGCTGAATATCACAAACAAGATATAAAAGTGTTGAAACATACTCTGCAACAGCTAAGATATTAGGAGTAATATTTCTTTAAAATGTACAACCACACCCACGCAACGTTGATATTAGGCGACATAGCTCTTTAAAGTATACACCCAGACCAAGCCGCCCAGAGGGTGAGTAATATCCCTCCAGCCCCCCATGGATATTATGAACCCACTGGCTAAGGGGCTGTGCCCACAACCCCGTCAGAGGGGGAGTAATATCCCTCCAGCCCCCCGGATATTAGGAACCTGCTGGCTAGGGGGCTGTACACACAGCCCCAACCAGAGGGCAAGTAATATCCCCGCGGCCCCCATTGTATACTACAAACCCTCTGGCTAGGGACTGTGTCCCTAGCCCCCGCCAGAGGGAGAGGAGCAGCACCCCGCGACCCGCCCCCCACCCCGGGGCTGCAAATCCGCTATTTAGAAAAATTGGAGTAATATGATACTGGGAACCATATCATAGGGAGAAGATATTGTTACTCTTTTTTTTTTATATTGGGCACAATAACACTAGTTCTAGTTGCACCTCTGCTATATTGACAAAAATATCATCCTCGCCCCTATACACATTAGAATTGAAATCACAGGAGGGTTTCTCTCCTTGCAATATTTAATTCGATATAATTGTTTTTTCTGTGGAAATTAGTTACCATATCAGAGCGTGGTATACACCTCTTGCTATATTCAGAGTATTACCATATGGGCAGGAACATCATCCTCTCTTCCCTGGATATTCGGAACAATATCACAGGACGGGTGTACAGCCTCAGCCACTTTGTAAGTAATATCATCTCTCATTCCCTAGACATTAGGAACAATATCACTGGGGGTTTGTGTACTTCCTGAGATATTTGGAGTAAAATCCTCTCCGTTTTTGGATATTAGAAACAATATTACAGTGGTGGTGTACACTTCCTGAGATATTCAGAGTATAATCATCCTCTCTCCCCAGGATATTAGGAACTAAATCAAAGAAGCGTTATATTGGAACAATCACAGAGTGTACACTTGCTTTCACAATGAGAGTAATACCTACTTAGGATATGATGGATATCACAAAATGTACACACATGGGTGTACTCCTTTGATAATAGCAGTAATTTTTATCTAATATACTAAAAATAATGTCCCAGAATATACTCATAAAATGTACATTTATTGGGATACTACAATAAATGTATATAATATGTACCATATGTACATTTACTATGATGTACTTATGTGTACACAATACATATGTATAGTAAATGTAAATAATGTGTACAATATGGACATTTATATGTACATAATGTATACACAATATGCATGTACATTATGTGTACAATATGTACCTTTATTGTGATATTATGTATTATATATATTTTGATTATATGTTATTGTGATTATATATATCAATTGATATATATATATAATTGATATTGATATTGATATATCAATTGATATATATATATAATTGATATTGATATTGATATATCAATTGATATATATATATAATTGATATTGATATTGATATATCAATTGATATATATATAATTGATATTGATATTGATATATATAATCACAATAACATATAATCAAAATATATATAATACATAATATCACAATAAAGGTACATATTGTACACATAATGTACATATACATTTATTGTGATATTACAATATGTAAATGTGTAATGTGCACACATATTTACACGTGTACATATAGTACATATGTACACAATGTGTGCACATTATGTACATTACTGATATACAATATGTACACGTGTACAGATATGTGCACAGTACGTAGATGTGTACGGCTAGCGGAACTTCCGCCTCCTCCGGCCTCAGTTCCGGATGGTCGCTGTGGTGAGTCCTAGGGCGCCATAGCAGCCCTGCTCTTGGTGGGTGCCGCGCTGCGGGGAAGGGCTTAGCCCCTCCTCTTCTCCCCAGGGCTTCAAAAGGGTGGGAAGGGACAGTCCCAGTGGCAGACCAGGCGCCGTGGCCTCGCAGGCGCACGGCAGGGACGGGCTCCGGTGTTGAGCGCCTCCCGTGACCCCACCAGCGCTGACTCACGCTCAGGCCCCAGAGCTGAGCCGCCCGCCATGGCCGCTCCCTGCAGGAGGGCCGCGCCCTGGACGACGGCCCTGCTGCTGCTCCTGACCTCACAGTTCCTATCCCCGGGGAGCTGCTCGGACGAGGAGGAGGTCCCCGAGGAGTGGGTGCTCCTGCACGTCGTCCAGGGCCAGATAGGCCCCGGGAACTACCGCTACCTGCGGCTGAACCACGAGGGCAAGATCGTCCTCAGGATGCGCAGCCTCAAGGGCGACGCGGACCTCTACGTCTCTGCCAGCAGCCTGAACCCCAGCTTCGACGACTACGAGCTGCAGTCGGCCACCTGCGGCCCGGACGCCGTGTCAATCCCCGCGCACTTCCGGCGCCCAGTGGGCATCAGCGTCTACGGACACCCGTCCCACCTGGAGAGCGAGTTCGAGATGAAGGTGTACTACGACAGCACGGTCGCGCAGCATCCGTTCGACGAGGCCGCCTACCCCGCCGATGACGCAGATGCCGGCCAGAAGCACGTTCTTGTGCTAGAAGACACCTCGAAAGAGGAGAAACTTATTCTCTGGAAGATATTAATTAGCATTTTGAAACTAGTACTTGAAATTCTCTTTTGAGTTCTTAACAACGCCCTGGAGTATAAAACCCTCCATCTGTGAAGCTGATTGCAGTTTGCTTTGAACCTTGATACTTGTACTTGGTTGAAGTTTTTTTCTGGTCAAGGGATGGAAAAATAAAGCCATATGCATTTTGTTACCTCAGTTACCCCCAAAATAGGAAAAGCAGCAAGTACAGTATTTGTTTTCTTTTAAAGATCAAAATTTCTATATTAAAAAAAGGACCGTGTACCATAAAATGTTTACACTCTGTTTTCATTAGGTTGACTAAAAATGATGATTGCAGTCACTTAGGTTTATATAAATCAAAATAGAGCAACCTTTCATGCTGTTACACAGATGAGATTAAAAGGTTGGTAACTTTATAATTTTACTCTGAAGATTGTAAGCGAAGTTCAAGGTGTTAAGAGTTACTAAAATCAAGTTGGAAATGATTTATGTACACTTCCCTGAGCCTGGACTAAAGGCCCCATGCCTGTACCCGAAGTACAGATGGTACTATTCTATACTAGAAAGGGATTTCCTGGCCAGCAGGTATTTACAAACCTTTTTCCTGTAATGACAACTCTAAATCAAGCTGCACCAGATCTTATCAGGCCATTGTCAATTTTGGGCTATGAATGAAAATTCTTTAGTTATTAAATAACTGTTAATGCTACCTATGGTAGGCCAGAAACAATGTAGATTAGGAAGTTTCATAAAAATAACCTTTTGGACTATGGAGAAATAGTTAAGTAACTTAAGTTCCTAAATATTTCCACTGAATTTTTGGAGTGAGCCAGTGTTACTATAAAATACTTCAGAGATGAATTCTCTACCTGGAATCAGTTTCAAGGGTAAGAGTAGCTTTTAACAAAAATAAATCAAATGCAGATTTTAAGCTCATAATTTCAAAAAAAATCTTTTATTAGAATAAAAATGAAAATGTTGTAAATAAATTGGCACCAAATACTCCACTTAAATGCATATACAATATTAGGGTCAAAAACTATTTTATCCCTCTTTGCTGTTTTTCCCCCTTCTGCCTACTTTCTTGGGTGTTGGGGGAGCCCACTGACAACAGTCACAAATCCAGCGACCTAGGAAAAAAATTGTTAGTTAATACAGAATGAACAGTAATTTTTATGGGACTGATTTTTAAGCCTATTTAAACTCTTATTCCTTAGCTATCATTAATGAGATTCCTCTGTGGATTTTGTGGTGAGAAGGACAGAACTTCCTTAATTTAAGGAGAAAAATGTAAACTTAATCAGTGTAATCAATGCTGTGCAAAATTCATTCCAAGTCAAGGGAAACGGGAGAGATGCGATGCCATAAATATGGACCTTTAAAAAATGATAATCGGCCAGGCGTGGTGGCTCAAGCCTGTAATCCCAGCACTTTGGGAGGCTGAGGCGGGTGGATCACAAGGTCAAGAGATCGAGACAATCCTGGTCAACATGGTGAAACCCCGTCTCTACTAAAAATACAAAAAATCAGCTGGGCATGGTGGCGCGTGCCTGTAATCCCAGCTACTCGGGAGGCTGAGGCAGGAGAATTGCCTAAACCCAGGAGGCGGAGGTTGCAGTGAGCCACGATTGCGCCATTGCACTCCAGCCTGGGTAACGAGAGCAAAACTCTGTCTCAAAAAAAATAAATTAAAAAAATAAAAAATAATCTTTCCTGAAATTTAAACACTATCATACTTCAGAAGTTCAATATAAACAATACAAAACCCATTCCAGAATTTGGCTTTTTTAAGCCTTTTTCTCTCCTGTTTACTGGCAGCTGTGTGTCTTAACAGCATTCTTTCAAGTCCTGGTGTACTATACTGACAGCACTTTAAAACTTCAAGTTTCTAACAGCACAGTCATAAATTGTACTACATACTTGATCTGAATTACTACAGATCTTTAAATAAATACGTTGCTTGCTTAATGATTCCCAGGAAACTTCGTTGTAGGCATATATTTTACAGAGCATTATACAGTGTTAACACTATACAAGTAAGTTCTAAAATTACACAATTCTCTGTGTAATATTTTAGTCCAGTTACTGTGATTTATTCAATTCTCTTTGTTGTAAAGTTATCTGGAACCGTCATGCTGCCCCAATTTATATAAATCTATAATAGACTTTCTATAGAAATGTGTAAAGATGTAGCAGTCACTTTGTTAAGTTTCTAAATAGATAACATAAAAATAAAGGCTTTGAAACACAAAAAGATATGTACGATAAGTACACGTGTACATATATGTACACATGTAGATATGTACCATGTGTACACATGTACATAATATGCACAATATGTACACACGAGTGTATACCCACTTTGATAATAGGAGTAATTTTTATCTGATATACTAAAAATAATATCCTAGAATGTACCCAAAACGTGTACATTTATTGGTATATTGCAATAAATGTATATAATATGTACATATGTGTACAAAATGCATATGTAGGTTAAATGAACATAATCTGTAAAATATGTACCTTTATATATGTGTGCACAATATGTAGGAACATAATGCACACAATATGTAGGAACATAATGCATACAATATATTTGTTGTATTTATATACATACAATGCATACACTGATTTACTGAAATATCAGTGATATACAATAACATACATAATCACAATATAATATAATACATATCACAAGAAACATTGTACACATTATGTACATATACATTTATTGTGATAACACCATATGTACACATGTACATAATGTACACACTATGTACATATAGGTTCACATTATGTAAAGTATGTACCTATGCACAGCACCATAGCCCACAGCCCCCGCCAGAGGGCCCGTAGCAGGTGGAGGTTGCCGTGAGCTAAGACTGCATCACTGCACTCCAGCCTGGGTGATACAGTGAGATTCCGTCTCAAAAAAAGAAAGAAAAAGTCTGAATACGCATATTGGATGGGATGGGATGGGATGGTGAAATACCCCTGGCCACCTTAGAGAGCATCTATCAAGTTGTATGCTGTGTTTATTCTGGGGAGGGACAGTATTGATAAAAGTTCTGTCTGTGATACAGGGTAAAAATCTGCACTTTCATCAAAAGAGCATTGCATGACAGAGGAAAAAAGCTAAAGCCTTAACAAAATGAAAGAGTCTTGATGTTTTTTCGGACACCACAACCCTTTCAAAAACATGTTATCGGCATGTTTTTAAACAGCGTTTTTGAAGTTACTAACTCATGATTGCAAGGTTCACTTTCCTCAACTCTGTTGAACCTTCAGAGGCCTCCACTCCATTTCAGTATGTGGTCTCATTTTATACAACAAGGGTTTCCAGAGAGATAGGGTGGAAATGGGATGGGGCTGGAGTAGAAATCTACTGACTTTTCTCTCTAAATTTTCCTTCTTTCTTTATTAGATTTATCGAAGTTTGGCATCGTGGAAATTCCTTCTAGGATCTGGCAGGATGCTTTGTAATATTACTAGTTTCCAGCCCTGTTAAAATGTTTTTGTGTGTGTGTTCCTGCGTAGTATTTCAAGGAGGCCTAAGAGGAAAATGAATCAGAGATTGCTAGCTTTCCACCGCCTTAGCTTGGAAGCCCTTTAACTTCCACAGAGATACACATTCCCTCTGTACCTATTTTTATGCTGTTCCCACCTTCCCATTTGTCTGGCAATTTCCTACTTATCTTCCAAGATTCAGCTCAGTTGTCTATCCTCTCTGTAAGGAAGACTTTCCTGAACTCCCAGGCTAAATGTCTTAGGGTATACTGTTTCAATCTCTGTTTTCACACTTGATATACTAAGTGTTAGATTATGGAGAGACACCATTATTCATCTTCAATCCTTATCCCATGGCAAATTGCTTGTGGAAACTCTAGTAGATGTCTTATTAAGGGTGACCTTTGTCCAGGGAGGAGACCACCCCCATCAAATTACAGAGGGATTTGAATATCCAGCATTGGAATATGAGCCAGGATGACAGAGTGCTGTAGTATTCCCTTATTTTTAATTCTGATGATACATTATTGTTATCTATTTAAAAAGTAAGAACATCTACTTATGTATAGGTTAACCTAGACAGGACTTTATTAAAATGCTCTCTTTAAAAAAATTAGGTACAAAAATTATTTCTTGAAAATCCCTTCCTTTTATTGATTTTATTAATGTTACATAGAAATATAAAGTTTAACACACCATACTTTTACTAATAAATGTAAATAAGAACAAATTACTTTCAGACAATTAAAATAACCAAATATTGATGATTTTCAATAAAGCATATTTTGAAATAATTCTGAAGCCATAAAAGACTAAAATTCACTTTATGCTAAAATAAATCATACTCTCCCATAATGCAATTATTTAATTTTTTTAAAGCAACCACCCAATAAGAGTTTAATTCATTAGGACATTTTTAGCATTTATAAATGCAAGGGAGTGTTTCTACTACACTGGCATCACTCCGTTCCTTAGCACTTATCTTTACACTGGAAGAGGTGAACAGATGATTATGCCCCTGGTGGGGCTAGTCCTGCCTCTGAACAGTGACTTGGCATGGCAATTAGTTGCAAAATTACCTAAGTGTACCCTAAAGATTTCTTCAGAGCTGTCAGTCTTCCTAAAACTACCCTAGCAAATACTTTTTCCTTTCTCCAAATACAGTTACTTAAACCACTCTATCCCATTGCAAGCTTTCCATTCTCTGTTAAGAATTTCTTGGGTGCTCATAAAGTTTTAGAGGACAAGACTCCTCTCAAAAGTACATACTACTCATAAGCTCAAAGCAAATTAGGTTATTTTACAATCCTTGCTATAGGCGAGAAAATGAGAATTGAGTAAGTAATTATCCCAATTTGAAAAGGAGAAAATAAGTATAAAAATAGATTGTTTTTTTAAACAATCCTCTATATTTATACTTTTACTTTAAGGATTAAAATGTACCATATAGTCTGGTACTCAAACTTTTTGAGAACAGATATCATTTTACAAAGACACTGAGACTCAGAGATATGAGTCAAATAGAAATCTGTATTATTAGAACTTGAACTTGGGCTGGGTATAGTGGCTCATGTCTATAATCCCCGTGCTTTGGAAAACCAAGGCAGGATTCAAAACCAGCCTGGCAAATATAGCAATAACTTGTTTCTAGGAAGTATATATATATATATGAAAGCCAGGTGTGGTGGCATACCCTTGTAGTCCCAGCTATGTGGGAGGCTGAGGCAGGAGGATCACTTGAGCTCAGGAGGTTAAGTAAGCCATGATCACGCCACTGGACTCCAGCATGGCTGACAGTGAGACCCTGTCTCTAAAAATAATAATAATTAGTGAGAACTTGAACTCAAGTCCTTTGATTCCCAGCACACAGAGCCTTTCCTTGCCACACCAACCATCTCTCTTGCTAACTTGAACATGGTGAAGAGCAGTGCAGCAGTCTGCATACAGCAACCAAAACGTCACTCAGTGTATGCTGTGTAGATACCCTTTAGTCTGAGTAAATGACTCCTATTGCCTTGGAAGAAGAATCAATGTATCATTTTCAATGTTGTTCTAGATAATCCTGATGTGCCTAATAAATGACAGCTGGTATGTGAATAACCATACACTGCCATAACTATAACAGAATCACAAATGATAATAGACTGGGACAAGCTACCAAGCAGTATGTTGAGTATTAAAATAGTTCACAGGGAATGCATATTATTCAACCTTCCAAAATGCATATTAAAGAACAATCTTGGTTAAAATATCAGTACAAAATGGTTTTAAGATTCTGATTTCTTAGAATACATTTCCCATTTTCTTGTTTAAAAATCTAAAAAATGATTTATTACATCATTAATTTTTTCACTACAAAACTGAGTTTTCTCTTGGAAAACAACAACTTGCTAGTAGCTTCCTTTTAAGCACAATTTGGTTATTAGAAGGCCTTCACTGCTGGAGTAATCTTGCGGAAGAATTTATGACCTTGGGAATTTGTATTTTCAAAAATATAGCCTGGAGGAAAGGGATAGCTAGCTGGGCAAATTTCCTGTTTTTTCGGTGTGTATTCTGCAGAGTACATAGTTACATCATCAAATGGAACAGAACTCTTAAAAGCAATATTTAAAGGTTTGCAACTCTCTGTTGGAATCAATTCATGTGGCACATAGTGAGATCTGAAAGTGCTCAAACCATCAAATTTTCCAGATGGGTTGGGAATCTGCTGCTGCTGCTTCCTAATAAGTCCTTGACGACAACTTTCCCATGCTGGAAAATCTTCCTTCATGGTGCTTTTTCCTTGGAAAGGAAAATAGTTACTTCTTCTATGAGAAACTGGCCTGATGGGAACAACACGGTTGGTCTGATAAGGAACATATTCAAGATGGCTTATGCTGTTTAACAGCATGCTACCTGTAGGAGGCACATACTCTGGTAATTTCTTGACCTCAGGTGGTGGGATTTCCCATGGTTGAAAACTTTCACGGAATTCAGTGCTTCCTTCAAACTGAGCATTTTGGGTCACTCTGGTGGGTACAGGTCTGCAGATTTTTGCAGTTTCACCAACAAGGCCCTGAAAGTCACGCCGGTGAGTTGTGAGATCCTCAAAGCATTGATCAGTCGGTTTGTAAACTTCTTTTGGCCTTTCAAACTTGAGTTCAAACTGATGAGGTATATAATCAAGGCGATGACTTGTAATACCATTAAAAGGGACTGTAGAACGTTTGGCCACAGAGGAAGGTTTAAAGCTTTGCCTAGGCTTTATCTCCTGAGGAACAAAGTCATCCTGAAATGTCGTTGAATTTCCAAATTTCGCAGTAGGGGGGTGATAAGTTTGTTCTGGCTGATAAAGTTTACTTTTATGAATATCCCAAGCTCTATAATCATCTTGAAAATTGAAACAAAACAAAGCAAAACAATTTTAAATGCTGAAGAAAACAACCATCTTCTAAAAATCACACTGGCTTCTCTCATTGCCAAACATCTTTCCATTTCCTTTAGAAATCTAAACAATAGTACCAGAATAAAGTTTCTGATTCCTTTCAGATTTGTTCTTTTTCTTCATTTCCACCTTTCTCTGCCCTTCTCCTCACTTTAATACACATAACTTTCCACTTTCAGATTCATCTGATTACATAACAAAGGAATGGCACATCTGAGCCTGATTGTGGATAGTTCTTGAAAGCCAAAAGGACTGTGTTGTAGGTTAGCACAGAGTTTAGGAGATTATGGTTGTATTCCCAGAGTGGTTGGGATTTTAACTACAACTCACAAAATGCTAAGGTATGTCTGAAATCCAGGGCTTGAATAAAATCAAGTGCCCTCACATGTGGGCAAAAGTAAAACAGGTATTACTCCTTGCTTTGGAGAGACTCATCAAAACAGAGAACATTTTAATTCTGGTGTACTCTAGGAAGCCTATAGAACTCCTTGAGCAGGCCGGGTGCAGTGGCTCACACCTATAATCCCAGCACTTTGGGAGGCTGAGGCGGGTGGATCATGAGGTCAAGAGATCGAGACCATCCTGGTCAACAAGATGAAACCCCGTCTCTACTAAAAATACAAAAATCAGCTGGGCATGGTGGTGCGCGCCTGTAGTCCCAGCTACTCGGGAGGCTGAGGCAGGAGAATTGTTTGAACCCAGGAGGTGGAGGTTGCGGTGAGCTGAGATCGTGCCATTACACTCCAGTCTGGGTAACAACAGCAAAACTCCGTCTCAAAAATAAATAAATAAATAAATAAATAACTCCTTAAGCAAAGATACAGGGTAAATTGTGCTATCCCATAAAGATCACTGGCTTCAACTTTCCCCTCATGAAAGGCATTCCCAAAAGATAGAGGGCCATCTAGAGGCCAGAGGCCTTAACTGAATGCCTTCAAAGGTGTTTGAAATTGTATATTGAAGTGACCATCAGAGCAAAGCTCTGGGGTTTGGAAGTTAAACAATCTTTTGCCTACTTCCTGGCAGTTTACCTAGATTATGGAGCATTTGGGGTCACTCTGGTGTATACGGAGTGATGACTTATAATAGCATTACAAGTTGGTAATGGAACACTTCACTAAAACTGAAATATTTATATTTCAACTAAGGATTATTTGTGTTTTCTATTTGTAGATGAGGAAGCTAGTAAGCTAGAAAATACCATAGCATTGACTTCACCCCAAAATATTTATTTCTAAACACAAAAAAAAATTATAAAAGAGAGAAATTTATCATACATGATAATGTACTAAAATCTGGATGAAAGTCTATGCAATGTTTACAGGAAAGGTCAAACCTTGAAAACTTCTTATGCAGATAGCTTTTTCAAATAGAAAAATTGATTATCCATTTCTGCCAAAATGGCCAAGTATTGGACTAAATGATTAAGTTAGTGATGTTTTGTTGAGTGTACTTGACTCAAGAATAGGCAACCTTTAGGCTGGCAGAAACCTATAGGACAAACTGACAGAACAGATGAGCTAGATCAAGCATTCTTATTCTTGTCAACCTAAAATTGAAAATAATGAGTGAGACAGAAATGGGAAAATTGGAAAGAATGCCAGGAGGTAGAGCCAAACAGCTATGGAAAGCTGAAGTTATATTCAATACCGACCTGTAAAGAAACAGAAATGATATCTAGGCAGCGGCAGCCAGTTAGTAAAGTGGCGATCAGAGCAGATGCACGAAGGGAAGTAAAGATGCTGTGAGAGGAATAATGTAGCTCATCGCAGAGGGAAAAGCTTTTCCTTCAAGATCCTTGGGCACCTGGTGGCTTTCCATTTTCAGTGCACATGAAGCTGTACCAGAGCCTTTTTTTCTTGAGGTACCATAAGGGAACCTCTCTTCTTTGCAAACTAAAGTATAAAAGTATAAGACTATTTTTCATTAACTAAAAGGTATCACAGATGTTACTGAAGGTTTATAGTTCCACACAATCATATAGGTAGAATTCTTGCTGCCAAATAAGAGAAAAAAGATTTTCATTATAAGTGAGTAAACAGAAGAGACTATTTCTCCCTCACCAAACCAGCTTTGGCTTTCAAAATGGAAGCAAGAATTTGGACACTAAGAAATGGATGTGGTACCATACAATAGTACAAATATAAGTTCTAGATAACAGCAGAAAATTGATTTTCTCCCTATAAATATGCCTATGTTCATATGCCTGGAATATGTATTACCCATTCTGGAATATTTATTAATAACATTCTAGCAATACTTTTAAAATATCATAATATTTATCACCTGTTTTTAGTGTTTTATGATACTTATGGAAAAAATGAACAGGAAAACAAACATAATGCTGTCCACATCTAATGATATAGTCTGGTTATGTGGCAGCCCTTGTTAGATGTTTCCTCAGCTCACTTTTTATGTCTAGCCACTAAAATCTAGTTAGAAAGTTTATTCTCTTCTGAACAGCTTTTTTTTTTTTTCTTTTTTTGAGATGGAGTTTCGCTCTTGTTACCCAGGCTGGAGTGCAATGGCGCGATCTCGGCTCACAGCAACCTCCGCCTCCTGGGTTTGGGCAATTCTGCCTCAGCCTCCCGAGTAGCTGGGATTACAGGCACACGCCACCATGCCCAGCTAATTTTTTGTATTTTTAGTAGAGATGGGGTTTCACCATGTTGACCAGGATGGTCTTGATCTCTTGACCTCGTGATCCACCCACTTTCGGCCTCCCAAAGTGCTGGGATTACAGGCGTGAGCCACTATGCCCGGCTGAATAACTGTTTTATTTTTCTGGTTCAATTTTTTTTTCTCATTTCATACCAGTTTTTAGAATATCCCTCCTCTTTCTATATATATCTATTGGCCATTTGTACGTCTTCTTTGGAAAAATGTCTATTCAGGTACTTTGGTCATTTTTTAAATCCACCTTTTTTCACTATTAGGTTGTGTAAGCTTCGTATTTTTTAAAATACTAACCCCTTATGTGATACATGGTTTGCTCATTATTTTCTACCAAGTCGTAGGTTGCATTTTTCTTTTCTTGATACTTTCCTTGCTGTACAGGCACTTTTTAGTTTGTTGTAATTTATTTGTCTATTTTTGCTTTTGTTTCCTATGTTTTGGGAGTCATATCCAAAAAACCATTGGCAAGGCCAAAGTCAAGGAAATTCCCCATGTTTTCTTCTAGGAGTTTTATGGTTTCAGGTGTTGTGTTTAAGTCTTCAGTTCACTTTAAATTATTTTGTGTATGGAATAAGAAAAAGCTCCAATTTCATTCTTTCACATCTGGATATTCAGTTTTCCCAATACCATTTATTCATTTTAATTTCAGATTCAGGAATTATATGTGAAGGTGTGTTACTTGGGTATATTACATGATGCTGTTTAGGCTTCTAATGATTCCATCATCCAATCAGTGAACACGGTGCCCAACATGTAGTTGTTCAACTGTTGTGCCCTGCTCTCCCTCTATCCTTTTGGAATCTCCAGTGTTTCTTTCCGTCTTTGTGTCCATGTATACCTAATGTTTAACTCCCACTTATAAATGTGAACATGCAGTATTTGGTTTTCTGTTTCTCTGTTAAATGACTTAGAATAATGACCTCCAGTTGTATCTTTGTTGCTGTAAATAACATGATTTAATTTTTTATGGTTGCATAGCACTTGTGTATATATTCTCCATTTTTTATCTGATCCATTGATAGGCACCTGGGTTAATTCCATGTCTTTGCTATTGTGAAAAGTGCTACAATGAATGTGCAAGTGCAGAGAGAATGATTTATTATCCTTTGGATATATACCCAGTAACGGGACTGCTTGGCTGAATGGTAATTCTACTTTTAGTTCTTTGAGTAATTTCCAAACTGCTTTTCACAAAGTCTGGACTAATTTGCATTCCCACCAACAGTATATAAGTGTTCCCTTTTCTCTGCAACCTCACCGGCATCTACTTTTTTTTGACTTTTTAAATAATTGCCATTCTGACTGGTATGAAATGGTATCTCATTGTGGTTTTCATTTACATCTCTCTGATTGTTAGTGTTGAGAATTTTTTCATGGGTTTGTTGGCCACTTGTATGTTTTCCTTTGAGAATTGTCTTTTCATGTCCTTTGCCTACCTTTTAATGTTATTTTTCTTGTTGATTTAACTTCCTTACAGATTCTGGATATTAATCCCTTGTTGGATGCATAGTTTGTAATATTTTCTCCTCCTGTGCAGACGTTCTCTTTATTTGTCAATTTTTATTGCATTTGCTTTTGAGCACTTAAGATACAAATTCTTTGCCTAAGGCAATGTCTAGAAGAGTATTTACTAGGATTTTTATAGTTTGAGGTCTTGCATTTAAGCCTTTGCATATAATGAGACGTAGGAGTGCAGTTTCATCCTTTTGCATATGGTTAGGCACTTTCTCTAGCATCATTTATGGAATAGGGAGTCCTTTCTCCTTTGTTTATTTTTACCAATTTGTTGATAATCAGGTGGTTGCAGGTGTCTGGCTTAATTTCAGGGGTTTCCATTCTGTTGCATTGGTCCATGTGTCTATTTTTGTATGAGTACCATGCTGTTTTGGTTACTGTAGCTTTGTAGCATAGTTTGAAGTTAGGAGATGAAGATGTATTACCTCTGGCTTTGTTCTTTTTGTTTAAGATTGTCTTGGGTACTCAGGCTCTTTTTGGGTTCCATATAAATTTTAGAATAGTTTTTCTCCAATTCTGCAAAAAATTATATTGGTAATTTGGTAGATTGCTTTGGGTTGTATGACATTTTAATGATATAGAATCTTCCAATCCATGATTATAGAATGCATTGCCATTTGTGTAGTCTATATGATTTCTTTCTCCTTGTAGAGATATTTGACCTCCTTGGTTAGCTGGATGCCCAGGTACTGTGTGTGTGTGTGGTTATTGTAAATGCGATTGTGTTCTCAGCTTGTACATTATTGGTGTGTAG